TTGCATCCTTGAATATCTTCATCTGTTGCTCCGGCTAGCTCATGTCCTTTGCCAGAGCCTAAGCTCACATTTCTCGGAAGAGGGAGCTTCTCCACTTGGAATGCTTCTTTTAAGCTCCAGTGACCAATTCCTCCCTTAGTACATTTCCATTTCAAAGAAATCATTACCTTTAGTTGTAGTTCTCATTCACTCGACTGATTTTTCTTTAGTTTTCTGCAAGCTAATACACCACTCTCTTAGCTGCCTAGAATCTTAAGGCTTCTAATTCACTGCTTAATCTACTTTTATCCTAAATGACAGATGAGATGCTTTAAACTATCAAAAGTAATTGTTTTTAGAAGAAATATGTCTTGAATAAATATTTTATCCAACTCACCCAGAGGTTACACAGTTGTGTTCTTTATCAGATTTCCTATAAACATACATTCCCCTCTCCACACCCCTCACCCCGGAATGTTTTAAAGGATTCTGCATTAAGGAGATCTTCACCACTTTTAATTGGCTAGTGCCAGAGAGAAAACAGATTCAATATGATCGAGATTTAGATTATCTCGGTGGAAGAATCGCTTTAACCTGTGTGATTGAAGGCCCTACCCTGGCTCCATTCTTAGACATGCAGTAGGCAGATGAGGTTTACCACAGTCCCAAACGAAAAAGCACCCTAGCAACGCTCTGCTTTACCTTCTGATTTGAAATCCTTAGTCCATTTTACAGCATCCTTGGCCTTGTTCGTTTACTTCCAACACAGAGCACACTTTCCCCACCTCCTCTTTTTATCAGATGATCTCAGCTACATTCTCTTGAGATGATCACCTTTTCTTTCTGAACCTTTTGGTTCCAGGAAGTCCCATTTCTGCAAGTGTCATGAACAGAAAACTTTTTTTGTTTTTTCCTGATGAAATTCCTTCGTGAGTTCCAAGACTGAAGTGGCTGCAGAGCACGTATCAGCGATTGCTTTCCTACGGAGAACGGTGAGGTTGACGAGTGACCAGTTGGGTAGAATGACAACATTGATCTAACAGGATCAGGGAGGCAGCAGATGAAAACCAAGATGGCAGCCTGGACAAACACCCTTTACAAATAATTCAGGCCAGTGATGGCTCACCGGGATGTTGGTGTGTGTGCAACTGCGGTTTAACCCGCTAACTGGCTCTAAGTCCCTCACTGGTGAAGATGGTTTACGGGATGCTCTTGTTGCGGTCATTCTAAAATTCAACTGGCTTTCCAGGCAGCTGTTGGGAAAAGAGTCATATTCAACCACCCTCTAAATTTCCAGTGTCCTGCATAGGAAATGGATGAAGAGCCAATGCTGTGGAAGATTCCAGAGCACTGTTTCAGGGCCCTCAGCACTGGAAGGGACCCATGTGGCCCAGAACTAGCCTTGTGCCCTGGCCAGTGAGTGCTTCACTGCAGGAATGACGTGAGTGAGAATCTCCTTCCAGTCCCTTGATGATGAGGGGCTGGATTCCCCAGGAAAGATGTGTGCCATAAGTCTGGATGGCGACTCCAAGGGGTGTGGTCCAGCCGAGAGGAGACCCAGCCAGTTCCGGCGCTGCTGCAACCTCTTCTTACAGAATGGAGACTCCTTATGGGCACCTCCACTCTCTCTAGGCCTCCCCATCTCTCCCTGAGCCAAGCTGCATCCTGGGTCCTCCTGCGGTTCTCAGCTGATCTCCACTTATCTGAGCAAAGGCTGGACACTTTCTGAAGACATTTCTGAGAGTGAGTCAGGCCCCGCTCTCCCAGCCCCTGCAATGGAGCATTTGCTCTGTGCTCTGCATCAAAGCTGCCCAACCGTGCAGTAATGACGCCAACCCTCTCTCTGAGCGCACACATGACAGAGCCAGAGCCTGAGAAAGGGGGTCAGATGGGCTGGCTGCCCTCTGGTAGGGCAGGAAACCCAGTGGGATCTGGGACTTGGGCTGGACTTAGGAAGCCTTGCTGGAAAGGTTCTTACACCAACTTGAAGACAAATCCTGCCTTGTGGTGCAGTCAGGTACTCAAGAATTACTGACCATTGAAATCATGTTCCTTTTTTCTCCACAGCAATTCTTTATTAGTCCAAATGGAAAATGGTTTGCTCAGTTTTAATGCCCCGGGGGAAAAATGGAGAAGGCATAACTTCCCCCCCCCCCCCCCCACCACTAAAAAAAAGGATTTTTTCCTTTTTCTTTAAGCCAGGACATCTGTAGTTCTGCAAGCCCTCAGAAAGCCTAAACCAGACAGCGAAAGATACCGTTGCCTTCTCCTTGGTGGTTTGATTGGAAGGAGAAGGGACACATCCTGTCACTCATCCCCTCATTCTGTAGATAATTACTGGGCACCTGTGATGGGGGTGGGTTCAGGGAGAACAGAGAAGGAAAAGGAAGTGTACACACAGCTCTTGAAGGAGGACTGGAGAAAGAAGAGAAACAGGCAGTAGCTGGCGAGGGGAGTCAGAACGAGAGAGAATTTTTTTAAAGATGGGAGAAATCATGGCATGGTTGTAGGCGAGTGTGTATTAGCCAGTGGAGAGGAAAACAGTGCTGCTTGTCAGGGAGAGGGCGGACGGGCCAGAGTGATGTCCTGGATGGGGTGGGGGATCCCGGGCTGGGTGGGGGAGGAGTGGCCTTGGACATGATCACGGAGGGCTGTCCCCGGGGCAGGAGGGACAGATGCAGACCCGTGGACGAGGGTGTGACGGGGTCAAAGCTGCACCACACAGCCTGGCTATCACTAGCTGGAAAATCAATTACTTTGAAAAAGAATTCACACGTGAGGGAATGGAGCCTAATCACTCGGAGCTGCTCGAACTGCCTGGAAGGAAGTAAAAC